CCCCTGTGCTGCTCTTTTGGAACATTGCTATAGCACCTTAGACATAGCAGCCAGCTGGGGCTCAGTTTGGAGCTGCAGCCACAGAAAAAGTTTGACTTGCTGTGTGGGAAAACAGGGAGCGATCACCAGGGCTGCCCACAGTGCCATCCTGTTTCACAGCTAATGCAGGTGGCACAGCTTGGTGCATCAACCCTGTCTGAAGCTGGGCTTAGTCTCATTTTTGTTTTGCTCTTACATGGTTGTAATGTTGCAGGCAGCCCTTGAAATCTTGTGACTGGGCCTGTACTTATTTTTTTCCATGTAGTTCATATGTTTCTAAGCTATGTCATGGGATGGGGGAGAACAAAACAATTCAACTAAGGGCTCCCTAAATATGAAGGAACTTTTAATTGGGGTGGAGGAAGACACAAAAAACAACAGAACCCCACTTTCTTAAATGCTCGCTAAGCATGTGTGAGCCAAAGCCCCACAGACACCCAGCCAAATTGTCACCCGGCCAAGACTCAACTGCTGCTGTTCCCTAAGCATCATATATTTTAATCTATAGTCAGGTATATTTTAAGCTGCAAGGAGGGGAGAAATTGCTGTGGTAACTTTTATTTCAGGCATAGCTACAGCTAGCAGCAAGCACGTTGGGCACCGTGTCTCATACACTGCTTTTGCAGCGAACTCCAGCCAGCCCACCTGCAACAGCTGTCATTGTGCTCCTTCCAAAGTGCTTATGGCCCTTGCCTGGTGTAACTCCGGCTGTCCAACAGATTACTGATGTTGCAGAAGTTAAATGTGGCATGGTATTTAAAAGAAGGATAGATGAGGTGCTTAGGGACAGGGTTTAGTGGTCGGATGGCAGGGTTAGGTTAAAGGTTGGACTCGATGATCTCAAAGGTCTTTTCCAACCAAAGTGATTCTATGATTCTATGTTTTTCTTTCTTTTGGTTTTTTGTTGTATATAGTTGGCCCCCTCCCCCCCCCAACATCAACTGTCATCTTCATTAGACTGAGGTGCGACTGCCTAATATGCAAGTTCATGGGGTGTTTTTTTCCAAAGTCAAAATCTGCAGAGCTGTATTGTTGTTCTTATTATAGTAAACAATAATAATTTTATTTTCACTCACACAAGCTTCTTTACACCCCTGTCCCCAACCCAGGGCAATAAATGTGTGTTTAATATGTGCCGAGGATGCTGTAAGAAAAGAGCGTTCAAGGAGACAGCAGACTGTCCAGGTAAGTGCAGCTGTCCTTACAAGTCATTGAACAAATGTCTCATCTCTCATGTATATTTATTACTTTAATCTTTAGTTTACGGGGTATGGGTGTTAAAAATCCACATACATACATAACTCGCTAAAACTTTATAGTACAGTTTTAAAAGCCTGCTCTTCCTTCCATGTATGGTATGTATTCTGCTTCCAAAGCCTTGGGATGCAGTTCCCAGACTGTAAGGACCCATTCTTTATAACTATAAGGAATGAGCTGTTCTGTTTACCAGGGTGGTCATCTCACTTCAGTTTTGTTTTGTGGTTTTTTGTTTTTTTTTTCTTTTTTTTCCCCATCCTTGCTTCCTCAGGTCATGGATTACTTTTTAAGACCAAATATGAAAAATCCCTTTCATGGCAGAGTAGTCAAAGAGTGATTCAAAACCCAGAGATCAGTCGGAGAGGAGATAAAGATGTGGGGAAGACTGCTGTACTGAAGGAGGCTGGTGAAGCTTCGGAAATGAATAGTTAAAGAGCTCCTGCCAGGCCTGTGCTTCCCTGGGCCAAAGAACATGCCTCCAGCTCATGGCCAGCTGTGTGAACGTGTGCCACAGGTTTATTTTAAGTTCTGGAAAAGTTTTATTTAAGTAAAAAGCTGCTTACTCAGGGAATTATCCTGCATTTGAAATAAAAAGGATGCAATCAAATTTCTCATGCTGTGTTTTAAAGACGGAAAATGCTGCATTTTTTTGGGTGGGGGCAACCTATGTAAGCTTCCATCACAATCTGCCTCTTGTATGTTCATTAACCTTTCATGTCCTGTTTTTAATACTGGGGAATAAATTTCTTGTATTAGAACAGCCTTCTGGCATGCTGAAAATAGCAATGTTAATGACTTCTTCACTAACAGAAAGTATGTCGCATTTGTCTGAGCTTCAGCCGAGCACGTTTTCAATGCAGGAAGGAGTCTAGCTGTACTTGGAAAACATGAATGCAAAACTGTAAGATGCTGCTATAACCACAGTGTGTAGTAACAATTATGTTACACAGTATGATAAAGCTTAACGGTCTCCCATGAGCCAAAGGTTGGGGGAAAATTAATCTCCATTTTAATAGGGCTCTCTGAAATTATGTGCTAGCATTAGAACCAAGCCCATGAACCTTGGTAGG